TGATTGAATTTAAATATTTATTGGAGTAAAAAACTTGTTTGTCAAATATAAATAAATGGAACTCTATGAGTAGTGTAATTACTTTATTAAATGTTTTAATTAGTGTCATTTTTGTTTATTTTCTGTTTTTGTTTAAATTTTTGATAATTAAGGTTTATTTTCGATAAAATATTGATTATTGGTTTTAATTAATATTTATTTTCAATTGCACTGAGGTAACACGCACAAATATGATTAATAGTTTTTTCATAATTTATTTTTATTTCTGCACTGAATTTAATGTAAAAATAAACGGTCACTCTTATTTTATATCCCGCGGTTGCGGTGTAGAAATCAAATTTTGTTATATTTCGATGTTGCAATGAAATATTATTAAACATAAGAGAATGAATTCTATTATCATATTCATGCAGATATGTTACTAAAGGTTATTGTTAAATTTTACGACGTATATGTTTAGTCATTTACTTAAATGATTTAACCGTCCGTTCAATGATTTTTGCAACTTCCAAAAAATTTTTTTTTTATCCCTTACAAATAACGCTATCACTATTTTCTACTAAAAGGAAATTATTAAAAATTAATAATGTAATATTACGAATTTGCAATATTTTATGGGAGTACAATAACAATTTGTAATTATGAAATACTTTGAATAATTTCATTAACTATAATATTTGCTATGCAGAATGAAACGAAGGATTAAATATAATACAAACATTGTACTGAGTAATGAGTTTAAGTGCGTCGCAAATAGCTTTAAGTAATGAGATTTGAATATTCAAACGCTTATAAGTATTTCAATTAAAGAAGCACTTGTGCACTCTGAATGTGATAAATCCGAATCCTCTATAAATACTTTAAAAAAAGAAAATTAATAAATATTCTGAAATAAAATCAAAGACTGAAACTTTATAAACATTCTCCATTTTCTTAAAATAATTCTTCTTAATTCTTACTGAAACCCACTAATGTAATTTTCATGTATTACATAATTATACACTAATAATCGATTGCGTGTCTTGTATAATAGCATCGTTTATTTTCTCAAAAATGTAAATTTGAGCTAATTTACCCTCTTTAAGGATAATTATTTTGAGGTTAGAAAATGTAATCATCTGATATTTTAAATTTGTAGTAATTGATTAAACAAAAGCTCTAATAATATACGAGAAATGAAAATATCTACATGTATCTAATCACTAATTGTTAAATTTAAGAAACTAAATGTCCACATGTAGACATATCTGTATCCTAAAATAGGTTAATGAAGCTAATGGCACTCCTTATCAGATTTAAACCTATTGTTAGATTCAACTAGTGATTATAAAAGAAGAAAAAGATTAAAAACAAATACTCCAAAGTAAATATTATTTTGAAATAATTGCAAATGCAATCATCAAAATAAAATTTGTATAGATTTGTATAATAAATGTGTATAATAAATAGTGTGTTTAAATTAGTATTTGAAGGGCCGATTCATTCGAGTACCGAAATACTTATAACTTTTCGAAACTTTCAAATATTATGAGGTTCATAACCAATCCATGAAGATATTTTCGAAGTATTATAATGAATGAACTGGTATAGTTCACAGTGACATAAATCTCCCGATTCCCATTTCGATGAACGAAAGATAAAACATTTAGTTCATATGTTCTAGTAATGTTACTGTGAAAGTGCACGCTAACTTATGCCACGTAACAGTTTTCTCTTCAATAAATAAACAAGTATAGATTGTATCAGCACACGCGAATAAATATTTTAAATAATTCGTAAACTTGCAAGTTGTACTTTGTCTTTAATTACTAGACATGTATAGATTGTATCTACGTACATAGATCATTTTTTAAAAACCGGATTACACCACTGTGACTTCAACTCCCTCATGAGTAGTACACGAGTTGTATACCTTGTCTATTAAATCCGATTTCTAATTTATAAGTAAATATGTTTTGAACTTGATTTCACTCATAATTATAACGATGCACAATATATAGAGACAAAACTGCTTAAATGCTGCATTAATTGTTGTCACATAATTGTTATAATGTTAACTTGAAATTTTTCAAATATTGAAATTTATTTAATTAGTGTAGTGTGGATTAAGTGGTCATTAAAGCGTCTTTGCTAATACCGGTAGAATTCAGCGCCACAGAACCATACAGCATTCAGTGTCAATATGAACCTAGTCCAGAACCCTAATTAGGAACAATGTTGCCATAGTACAGCCAGGTGAGAAACTTCACGCCCGTATTTATACGTATCTCCAAACGAACGGACGAATACGAAATGTTAATATCGAACATACATACATCATTTCTACTACACTCTAAACGATAATTTTCTAGAATATAAATTACTCTGGACCGGTTGAACGACGTCTTTTCACGAGAAAATAGCAGCAAACCAACCATACTTCCCGCGTAAACTAATTTCTCGCGCTAGTTGATTTTAAGCTAGTTTTAAATCCCCAATTTTTCTTCGACTTGAACAAATATATAAATTCATCGCGATCGAATGATCCTTAATATTCGCGTGTCTCGCCGAGGCAACGATCTCACAAAAAAGAAAGAAATGAAAAAGAAGGGAGTTCACTTGATACACTCCCGTTTCCAATTGTCACGTATTTTCAATTCGATTGCCGCGATTTTCTGACGGTAAATTAGCTAGTAAACTCGCGGACTCGTTCGACAGCGATTAAAATCACCGCTAGAAACGTGTCCTGTCGCGTTCTGTACCCTGTATCACGTATTATCGATCGGCTCGAAATATGATTCAATAAAACTAGCCAGTGTGGCACATTTTATTTTCCTTTCTTTTGCCTCATCACGAGTACGTCGAACATTTCTATAACGATCGAGCGGAGAAAAGCAGCAAAGTACGAACGATAGACGATAAACCAATCGGTAGCAATTGCAAGCACTGCACCGCATGCACTATCTCACCCTCGATCTCTCCCTGGCGTACACATATACTCCGGCACACATTCTCAACGATTATTATCACATACGTTCACACGTATATTCAGGCACAGGGCTCTCAAGACACGTACGAACCGCCTGGGCAAATACTCGTACACGACACACACACACATACACACAGACACAGGCTGATAACTGACCGATATTCGAAATTGGCGTTTTGGCTTACCGCTTACCGCCAAGTGTCTAGATCAACACACACAGACTCACTTACGTAAGACACTAACGCGAGGCATGAGCCGGTCAACCAATCGCAAGCTCCACGTTTCAGTGTTTGAGCAATAGTTTATATTCGCTTGCAATTGGCTTACGGGCTTCCTGTGCTTACTATACAGTCTTATGTAATTGATTCTATTGGCTCCGGGTAATACGAAAAAACGAAAGGAACGAAAACAAGAAAAAATAGAGATCGACGACGGATACATTCCGGGATCGCGGGTTTCTTTGTTTTCATTTTCGTTGGAGTGTGATATATCGTGATGGATATGTAAACGTCGATGATCACATTGACACGTCGATATGTATGCACGCGTATGATAAGTATTATTATTGACACACACATTTAAGGATTTAATTTCTCGATGACGTTTGAATCGATATCGAAATAGGCAGTGTCGTTACACGGATATATTTTGAACAGTTTTCTAACGAAAGTAAATCAATTGATCGCCGAGAGAATCGTAACGGCGGATCCAGAGGTGTACCCGACGTCATATTTCACACTCTATCATTTCCGTGAATTTTCGTCTGGAACACGAACGTCAATAACTATCCGATGCGACAATATCGGCTCGTGTGTCGCGCTCGTTCGTTATCCCAAATCTACCTGATCGATTTGTCCTCGATCTTACTCGAATGTCGGAATGATATTTTCTGTTCTTTTTTTCAGTAATTCGTACCGCATATTAAATTAAAAATGACACATTGAGTCGCACGATCGACGCGGAAAGTAGAATTACTCAACGCCGTCACCGTTAACGATGCATTCATCGCGATACGCGAATCACACGTCGCCCGAATGAATCGTATTGTCGTCGTGCTCGCATCGTGTCCAATCTAATCGTCTAATTACATTCTCGAAATTGACTAGAAAATCCACGTGTAATTATTTACGGTAGCCAAACAGGGCAATAGAAATCATTCTCACGCATCGACGCTCCTATCTACACATCCTTCGGAACATGCACTGCAGTCTTCGTGTTCGTTATCTTTAAGAAAAAAAATCTGTTAACGTTTATCTTTTAACATTACATCCCGCTGCCCTCGCTAATCGGTTTTTCTTTCTTACGTGTTCCTCTATCCTCTCTGTACTCCTTCGCCATTGTAGAAAGTATTACCCGTCAACATTGTGCTGCGAGACCGCCGAACGACGACAATGGCTCCTTTTCCCAGGGCGCATCATCGTTTCGGTCGTTAAGAACGTCGTATCTCCCTCCGTGCACGTCGGACACACGAAAACGTTTCGAAATAATCGCGGCGAACTCCCACGGAGCAGGCGGAACGGCAATTCGGTTTTATCGATCAATCCTCGACAGATTCTTCGTTTTATGTGTTCCGTACATTAGTCACGACGACACCTTCAACTATTTCATCAGCCACCGAACGTAAATTTCGCGACAAGTGGACGTTCGTTTCCACCGTACCGGGTCTCAACGACTTCCCATTCTCGTATGTATACATACATACATATAGTATATCTTGAACCGTTTCATCGATCACTCTCCTCACCCCTATCTCTTTCTCTTTATATATATATATATATGACTGTGTTATGTGTATGTATATGTATATATATATATATATTATATGTTTATGTATACGCTATCCACGTGACAGGTCGACGTCCGTGTCCATCGGTCAACGCGACGGATTTCTCGGAATTCAGAATTATCGAATCATTCACTACCGCTCGTCCGGCACTGGACAGGACGTCGCTCAACAGTCGGTGTCGTCCTGGTGGCGTCTACGAAGCTCCAGGTAACGGTGCCGGGCGTCGCAGTAATGAAGCAGCGGTACCTAGACGTCGGTCCCAGTCCCTTCCTGATAGCCCTCGTCGGGAGAGCTACGCGTCGAACCAAGGACACGTTTGAGCGCCGAAACCGGTGGCAAAACCGGCACTCCCTTTTGCCAAACTCGTATCTGTTTCGCGCCCGGTGGAAATTGCTCGACCATGGGCGCCACTACGGCCAGAGCCTCCTTCGAAGGATACGTGCTCACTGGCACCGCTGTTCTGCACGTATCCCTCGCGTCCCACAGGCAACTCGAGTAAAGGATCTTGGCGTCGTCCACCACTTCCATGCGACTGTAGTCCGCCCCGCCGTACGGCGTAATGTCCTCCGCCGATCCCCGACGAGTGTCCCTAATGAGATCGGGATTGTCGATCGGCATTAACGACGTGGTCGACGAGAAACAGGCACTCGGCGCCACCATCACCGAAGGTTGTTGACTCTGGTCGTCGAAACGGCTGATCGAACCGTACTCGTTCTCCGTCTGCAACGTCGCTGCTTGCGGTCTCTGAACGTAGCTGAGATTTAAGGACACCGGTGGTTTCGAGTCCACACCGAACGACGTAGTTTCGATCTCCTCGTGCTTCCTGCGTGTGGTCGACGTCGCAGATGGAGGGTTATCGTTATTGCCTCCGGTATTGTCAGCCGACGCACCTTCCGCGGGAACGGCCGATTTAACGTCTTTCAGAGGCATCTTTCGAAAACGAATGAACAACACGAGTATAATGAGAAGTATGAAGAGGATCAACACAACCAGAGCGGCGGATATTCCAGCGATCTGACCGGAGCCGAGGGTCGACATACCAGCAGTTCTTAAAGACACGTGAAGGGTGAAATTGGCTTCGACACTGCCAGCACGATTCTCCGCCACACAATAAAACTCGCTCGAGTCCGATTCCTGAGCGTTCGTGAGCACTAACGTGCTCCTTTTCCTGAACTGACCTTCCTCGAAGATCAAGATTTTCTGATAGCTACTGAACGCCGAATGGTTGGTCAGCAATCTTCCGTTCCAATACCACTTCACTTTAGCCGGTGGTATCGCGCTAACCCGACACACTATACTGGCATTTTCGCCTATCGTCGCTTCGGCATAGCGGCTGGCTATCAGGAGGATCGGACGACAGGCAAAGTCGTCTATACCGAGATCCGTGAACGTGCGGTTCAATAACGGTTTCGGCCCGTGGCAAATGGGTGCTTGAAGAGTTGGTAGATTGTGCTTCACCAGCCACATTTTCATCTCGCGAAGATGACAATCGCATATCCAGGGATTGTCGTGAAGTTCTATACTTGTGAGCTTGTTCAACGGCTCGAACGTGCCTGGATGGAGCGTCGATAATTGGTTGTTGTTCAGTTTCAAACTTTCCAGCAACTCTAGACCCCGGAAACCTTTGGACTCGATCTCCACGAGCTGTGTATTGGATAGATCCAGCTTGACCAGATTCGGTGTACTCTTGAAGGCGTGCGAGTGAATCCTCTTAAGAGGATTGTTGGAAAGTACCAGATCCCTGAGAAACGGTGTATCCGTGAAACTGGCACTGGGGACTACGGTTAGGAGGTTATGACTTAGATCGAGCTCTACCAGATTCGTAAGGCCCGCCAGTGCCTCGCTATCGATTCGGTCGATACGGCACTCGCGTAGGTAGAGACGCTGTAGATTCGTCAAGCGTACACGTACGAAAATGTTACTCGGTAGGGTCCTAATGTCGTTGCCACTGGTGTCCAGCACTTGCGTCTCCGGATCGACCCACTCCGGTATGCTAGTCAGGGCACGATTTATACACTCGACCGTACGCTTCCCGCTCTTCCACTTGCAGGAACACTCGTCGGCGCACTTGTCGCTCGTTACAATGCCGAGGAACGTCGTCACGTAAAGTAAAAATACCGAGATTTCCATGGCGAACGCGTTGATTATTGTCGAATGGTGGTCCTGGTTTCGGTAAACGCTATCCTCCCCGACTGTCTCGCTCGAGGACTTGCTTCGTCAGACGCATCAATGAACGAGAATTAATTTTCCTCTCCCGAAAAAAACCTCCTCGAACGAGCTTACGCCCATTTTTCTTATTTAATCCCCGGATATGTCCCGTTACTCTTGCCCCGTCCTCCTTCCGCTTCGCGTCTCGTGTTCGATAAGACAGTCTCGTCTCAGCCTTTGTAACGAAGTTTACACGAGCCCTCTTCCCCGTGTTGTTCTTGCGATACACCACAACTAATTATGCAAACGAGAGGGTTGAGATTAAGCGGTCTCGGCTCGTCCATTCGTGAATCCTCCTGATTCCACTGGATAACTGGACGAATTTCCTTAGGAACCGGAATTATTCCCGGTCGCGGGTCGGACTGCTATTTTCGGCGAACTCACGAATCGGCGAAAACCTCCGGCGACTCCTTTCCTGCCTGGCTTTTCCGTATTTGTCGGTACTTGTCACACGCGCGCGCGCACATTGAGATACACACACGTACGTACGAGTAAGCGTACACCACGAGCGTCCGTCGTTCTTACGTAAACGCGTCGATCAACGTGCACTTCCCGTGAAGATAGCTTGTCCAAGGGGGACGCCGTGAAAAATAACACCCCGTAGACGCAGCACCGTAACCGACACCACCGGACACCCACCGAATACACGGTTCACGAAAACCGAACTCTCGCGTTCTCACACTACAATGCCCGAGGCGTTGTCCGTACCAGGCGATCACCCGTGTTCTTCGCGCGTGTGCGTGTATATATGTGTGTGTCTGTGTCTGTGTGTGCGTGCGTGTATGTGTGTGTGTGTGTGTGTGTGTATTTTTTTCCTCTTTTTTTCCAATTCTCACCGAACGCGCAAAACACTCGGACCGATAGCACGGACGCTCGTCGTGAAATGAGAGACTGTGAAAAGCCCGGCACTGAACCGGAGAGATAACCTCTCCTGCCTTCTCTGTCTTTCTTTCGGTACGTCGTTGCACACTGCCAGGAGGGAAAACGCCGACGCGAAGTAGGGCGCACCCTTCTTCCACTCTGGCCAGACTATATACACAGGGTGTATACACCACCACCGTGATTCCGGCACCCCTTACGGCGCCTTTCCTCTCCTCCACCGTCATCCTTCACCCCCCTCGGGAGCCTGCTGTTCCCTGCGAATCTCCCCCGGACACCCCCGCCACTCCCAACCAGACAGCTCGTGCGCTTTCCACGAGCGAGTCG